GAAATAATCAATTCTTTTGTTTATCATTTAAGTGTAGATGTTACCAAGAAAACAATGAGAAAATTACATATTTTACTGATATACCCTTAAGGGTATATAATGAGAAAAAAACTAAAAATCGAAAACTAAACAGAAAAAACCTGTATATTAACAAAAAATTAGGATATAAACAGGAAATCGTAAAGCACTGATTGATTATATATTTAATTGTATCACTTGAAACATACTTTTCAAAAACAGATATAAACATATACGTACATATAGACAATAAAACATATATTTAGAAAAATAAACTAAAAGATGATCAATTCCAAAATATAGTATTGTACTTTGAGAGTAGATTCCTAAACATAGGATATAGTGTAACAGGAAGTTTAAAATGAAATTTGTAATTTTTTTTGTTTATTATTTAAACGGCTTTGATAAATCACATGAATTGATAATTTGAGTTACTTTTTCAACAGGTTTGTAGTTTATATGAATATGATGTTAAAAGAAACCACCAATGTATCAAACTCTCATACATAACAGGTAAAAAAATAGAGGGAAAAGTGATGAAATCGATTAAGAATGTAGATGAAATAGAACATCTAAAAGGTAAAGAGCAATGTAGTTTTGCTGACCTGATGATGAATACGTGACCCTTAAAATCGTATTGACTTCTGAAATTGTATTGAAATATATCATCTCTTCCTAAACTGATTTCCTGATTTTTTGGGATTGATATAAAATGGAATTTAAATTGATTACCTGATTTATTGGGATTGATTTGATCTTCAATATTCCACCGAATTAAATTTGAAATTTCCTGATTTATATATTTACTGATTGACGATTTATGTTTCCTGATGTGTACAGTTTTATTTTTGAGAATAGAAGGGCGAAGTGGGAACTTCACTTATAATTTTTGAGCGGGAAAATGCAAGGGTGAGTGGCTAAGGGAATGCCAGGTGGCGTTTCTAGTACTGTTTTATTAGTAGAGAAGATATATATATATATATATATATATATATATATATATATATATATATATTTCAAACCTTACAATAAAAGAATATAATATTAATAATAGTTCAAATTTTCTATCAACTTAGAACCAAAAAAAAATTAACATATTTTGTATGGGTGGAAATGATCTGTATTTTTCTTTTGGAATTATCGGATTATATTACATATGTTGATGGTTACAATTCACTAAAATGAAAAAATTAGACAAAGAAGGATTACATAGGAATAGAAAATAGGTAAACAAAAGACGATTTCCATTGATAGATCCCTCTAATACTAAAGAGTGTTGAACAACAGGCTTCTTCTACAAACGTTTCATTCATTTTTTGTCTATTGAAAGTACAACAGTAGGTCAATGCGAAGAAAATGAAAGTACAATAGAACTGCTATATCGATGCAGATTTTAAAAAAAAAAAAAAAAAAAAAAAAAAAAAAAAAAAAAAAGTTGAATGCTATGAAAAGCAGTGTTATATCAGTTCACTTTACCACTGCTTCATGTGTGGGGCATTTTTTCGGTAATCTGCACATTTAAGTTGCATATTTTGATAGAATTTCAATAGGAACCTACTTTGTTAATAGTTAACTTTCTGAATGTCAAACTCAAACCAAAGTAGTTTTCTATTGAAATTCTATATGAATGTGAAACCTAAATATGTAGATTACTGGAAGGGTAAACATGTGTAATAAGGTTAGTATGTTTTTTACTTAATCCACCTCATGCGACCCGAGTTGATGACCTAAATCAAGGGTAAATTGGTTTTGTTACATTAAGGGTCAAAATCAAGGAAAAATATGGTTAATATGATCTATCCAAACAACATTTTATCTAAACTTACTAAATGTGACTTAACCACATGGTTTTTTCCATTAAGAACTGCAACATATTAAGTAAACGTTTTCTATTACTCTTGAATACAAATTCGCATTATGTCAATGACCTTAGACAATAACAACTGTTTTATTTTTGCTTGGACTTCCACAAAGTTGCAATTT